ATTTCAGGAATTTTTGCCTTCAGTTTGTCACTTACTAGTATTTCTGACTTCCATTTGTTGAGCATTTTTATGAGCTAGCCACTACTAAGTGATTTATATATATTTTCTCATTAACTCTTACAACATTCTCATGACAACAATCTGGTTACCGTGCTTTTCCCCTGACAAATGGAGGCTCATGGAGATGAGTAAGGCGTTCCCAGTTTAGAGGCTCTGCCAAGTTTACCACTGAGAAACTGCAGATTGACCCCCAAAATTACAGGACTCCAGAGCCTTACATGGTGCGTTCTTTCTCACTCAGATGCGCTGCTAGGAGTCTCAGGAGAGAATCACCAGGTTGGGTTTCCTACTAAGTAACTTCATCAAAACATTGGCTCAGGAGTGGGAGAAACAATTACTATGGTAGGAACCAAGAGCAAATTTCATACCATAGAAATAGACTGGCTAGGTCAAGGGTAAGTTGAACAGTTGAAGCTAGGGAAGAATTGAAACTTATAAACAGAAAAAGGGTAGAACAGTAGCAGTAGAAGGGTCTTGATTTTCTTTGGAGCAATAAGATTTCCTCTTGCTGTGCTGGGCTTCAATGCCTTTTAGAGCAGAATGGAGGGAAGGAAGATCCATTAGTCAACGCTAAAGGAAAGATTAAGTTGAAGAACAAAAAACATGGAGACAAAATTTTAGATTGGGTCTTAGAATTTGAAAGGCATGGGGTGGAACAAATAGTAACATTCCCAGAGGAGATTTTTATTTGGATTGTTGTGAAGTAGACTTACTTTTTAGATCACAAGAGTGAGATACTTTGGAATGGATGAGAATGCTATTGTGGCTCTGGATAAATCTGAATTTGTTCACATAAGAGAGTCACTATGTAGTAATCAATCCTAAGTTCTTTCAGTTTCTAGTGATTTTCTCTATGAACCATCATCTGTCTGTAGCAGTGACTGTCACGACCCATTAGGCCTTAGTTTTTTAAGAGTATAAAATTTTAGTCTTGTCACTTTATGTTTGTAGCATACTTCTCCACAGTCTCCTCGTAACTCATAAAGTACCTCATTAGTTGCATTGGCTCATTAGTACATCAGAGTTGTAAATTATAGGTATAGGACTGTAAACTTGTATTTAGGGTTCTTGATTTTTGTGGGTATTTGTTCTTAAATAGGCAAAATCTTGAATAAACACCTCTATAATAGCTTATTAATATTCTATGCTTTATGCAGTAGTTGTTCTTCATGACAGAGTAGAAGAAAACTAAAGCAATCTAATAGACTTAAATTGGAGTTTGAAATGTATTTCAGCGTTGCCATTATTTTTGTGTAAGCAGAACCTTTCTCCTGAAACCAGTTATTTGCAACAGAGTGACAAGGTTAGATAGTAAACAAACTGCTTTGTAACTGTCAATTTTGGTTCTTGTCCCGTGAAAGTAGCTCTGGAGTGGATGTAAATGAGGGAGCTTGGCTGGATTTCAGGCTTTATTTCTGGACTGTGAAATGTTAATTTCTTATTTACATATGGCACAAATTTTGACTTTTTTTAGTTATTTAAATATAGAACTATCCATAGTCCCAAGGTATAATAAAATAGGTAGCAGCAGACTGAGTTTTACTTGAAGGTCTCCACTTGCCTCGCCCAGTTTAGCTGGGGAAAGGAGTGGGGCTCACACTGGGCTACACAGTGGTGCCAGAAGGCGGTGGGTTTGTGTTCCTGATTCTGCTGCAGCCCGAGGTGAGTGCTTTGCCCCAGTAACGTCTGTTTGTCTTTGATATTCTCTACTCATTTTACCCAAGCATTGAGCCTTTGCTTCATTTCCCCATTTCCTTAGTGCAAAATCTTATAACCAACGATGATGTCGTTTCAGAAATTTTACAGTAATACCTTAAGTGTGAGCCAGAAGGCTTTGGATTTGTTTGGCTCCCTGTAGCTTTCTCTTACGTGAGGTCCATTTCTGCATGATCTGGTGTGGATCGCTCTCAGGCCCTAGCACAGAGATAAATAATCCACATTCGCAAGACTGCACACTGGCTATTTACAGGCACCAGACAAGAGATTATATGGATTTTAAGATCAACAGCTATGTTTGTATATTAAAGTCTGGCTTGCTAGTTAGCATTCACTCAGCAAACAGTACCACAAATTGAAATCTCTACAGCTCTTTACTGTCAATATGACAAACTCCTCCCCAGGATATTTCTGACACCTCTCACTCTGGTAGAGTAACCTCCCTATGCAAACAGTCTCTGTCACATCCCTTGTGAAGCTCTGCTTTTGTGAACTGGGAGTGGCAGGAGCCCACTTAAGGTTCCAGTGAAGCTCTGTCAGAGAGGCAGTTTCCCTGGCCTGCTTGTACTTACACGTGGGAGAGACATTTGAGCATGAACTCCAGATTACTCCCTTCCTGTTTGTAGTCTATTATTTTTACTTTCTGGTTTTGCTTTTCCCCAGCTTGAGTAAATAAGGGTGGGTGTGGCCATGAGTCTGAGGTGCTGGATTCCAAGTGGGTTGGACCTGGGCTTCACCTTTCTGAGCCCTCATTATATGCCAGGCCCTGCCTTGCCACTGTGTGCACACCAGGCGCAGGCCAGGCGCCGGAGGCCACAGGTCACTTTCAGGTGACTCTGCTTCCTGAGGTGCAAGGTGTTTGACTTTAAACCCAATGTTAGTAAGCAAATGATACTATACAGAATTTAAATTAAATGCCAAAAAATATGCATTTATTTAGAAAATGAGTATTTTTTAAAAATCAATTTTAAGTGTTAGACTCAATTGCTGCAGTTAAGTCTAGAGGGGTTGTGAGTTCACTTTTATAACTAGGTGTCTGATATGCTGTTAAAGTCCTTATATTCTAATGATTCATTTAAATTGTTACTTTTTACCGGCATTTTCATTAGCAAAAAGACAGCTGTTAGAAAAGTTGCAGGAGAAACTGTTGAAAAATTTGAGCCTGCTTAGCTAATGAGCCAGAGGACTCCTGTCACACATACCTGTTGTCACCTTCAGCTGGCTTCATTTATTTTCCATAATTTTTATGGGAGAGTTAGAGAATAGTTATTTCTGGTTGTGAGTACTGTCCTGTGTTGCTCTCTGTGCAACGGGGCGTGGCGTATCCTCAGCCTGAGAGGTCGCAGGGTGATGTCGCTGGCATAATATGTGTTCTGTCCTGGACCAGTGTCCTTCCTGGCTCCTTACTGTAAGCAGGCTGAACCCTGATTCAGTCCAAACCGGAGAGCCAGACTTGCTGGCAGCGCTGATGCAGAGTTAGGTGCCAGCACATCCATGTCACCGTGCCTCCTCTGCTGGCTGCCTCGGGGCGAGTCCCATCCATTTATACCTGTGATAAGAGGATCGTGCTCTGGTAAGAGTGGTGTTGAGTGGTGTCTTAGCTCACTTCTTCAGCTATAGCAGAAGACTTGATACCGAATGGTTTATGGATAGGTGTGTCCATCTCACAGCTTCGGAGACTGGCAAGGCCAAGCGCCTGGCCCGGCTTCGGGCAGGGGTCACTCACTGCTTCACAGCAGGATGCAAACTGTGAGGCCACTGAGCTGTGGGTGGGGTGGCCAGAAGAGGTCCCCTCAGGTTCTCACCCAGTGTTCAGGAGTCACCCACTACAGGGGACTCCAAATTCCCAAGTCCACAGCTCAGCACTGTTGCCCGCGAACACGATTCCCACATGAATTTTTCACGGGGACAGACGGTCCTCAAACTGTAGCAGATCGTGAGCTGGGGCTTATTTTACTCTGGGTGGTTTTCTGGGTGGTTGCAGAGGCAGTTCCACTCACAGGTGCAGCCTTGGGCTTGGCAGCTGCCTCAGCTCTTTCCTCAGAACATGCAGGTGAGGTCTTAATCTGCCTAGCAAGGAGGGAGAGATCACCACGCAGCCCTGCTGCGGTCCGTCCAGACAGTCAGAGTGCACTACCCCAAGAAGGCAGCATCCACAGAACTGCCCTGGAAGGGGCACACTCAATCTGTCTGCAGAGTGCTCTCCCTCAGATGTCTAGAGTAAAGCCCAGCACATGGAACAACATTCTGCAGCCCGTTTCTCTGCAAATGGAAGCACTATTCTTTATGTCGGCTTTGTAATCGAACAGGTGCTATTTTGGTTTCTCTCTTCTTAAGTTGTATTTACAACTCTTTCCTTTGACTTTTGATAGAAATATCTGCTAGGGATGCACAGACACAGGTGCACTCTAGTATTTTTTCAGAAGTTGTAGATGGTTTGGTTTCAGTACTATTTCTGTTTTCCCCAAATGAAGATTATTTTTTTAAGAATAACAATTGACCATGGTGGTGAGAAGTTAACACTGTGGAATGAAAAGGTGTCCTGCTACTCCCCTTCTCGATGTAATGTCTGTTATTTGTGAAAGACAAATCTTTGGAACTGGTCAGTCACCTATAGACCAAATGCTCTTTATTTCTCTTTAAATTTTATTCTTTTATCCTATAGGAGAATTGTTCTCTGTTCTTTTATTCACTCTACTAAAATACATTTAGTTTAGTTTGTTAGAAAATCCTTGTTGCATATACCTTCCCTTCAGTGTATCACTATGGACTAATTTATTATTCAAAACTAAAACACAGTGTGAGTAAGGCAACTTGATGTAAATTGCTTCACTTAAGGCAGTTGGTGCACTTCACTTACGACCCCTCTGATGCACATCCTTCTGGGTTTGCCAGCCTGCAGTATTATTCAGGACCTGAGCCTCCTCTTACCAAACTGTGAGGCATCTCTGCAAACTGAGTAGGCTGCTTATCTTCCACCTCATAGCCGGAGCATTGTTTTAGCTTCTCTGCCTAGCAGTGCCATTATCTTATATAGAGATAAGAGCCTGCTGAAAACCAGAGACTTAGTATTGGCTGTGGTGTAACGGCCTCCTGGGATCCCTGTGAAACTTGTTTCCTGAGGCTGTGTCATGGAAGCAGAGGGCACAGCACATGGGCCAGTGGTGAGGATGAGATGCACTCATAGCTCTCTTTTAACTCATTTTCTACTCTCCACTGTACAGGTTTGTGATTCGGATACCATGCTTGACCCTGCCTCATCTGTGGAGATGGTGAAAGTTTTGGAAGAAGACCCCATGGTTGGAGGTGTTGGTGGAGACGTCCAGGTGTGTGTGCTTCATTTTTGGCCTGAGATGCTCTGGTTGTGTGTGTGCTTTCTGCACACAGTTCTGTGACAAGCATTGCTCCTGGCGCTTGCAGCATGTTACCATGGCCTTGTGCCACCTCTTTTTTTTTTTGTCTAAGTTCAAATGATTTCCAATTCCTTTGCTTAATTCCAAGTATAGCCTGCATCTCTGGTGCGGATACGTTATATGATGCAGACAGCTAATGCTTTCCACTGTGTATCTTTGGACCAAAAACCTACTGTTCAAAATTCTGCTAAAATTTGACCCAGAATTTCAGCTAGTTACAAGAATAGAGGAACTAGAATGGTGGTAGTGAATACATGATGTCGTCTGCTTCTGTGGTTAAGTGCTGGCCAAGCTGTGGTTGGTGAAAATAAAAATCAAGAAATGAATGCGGGAAAGAGGAGCAGAGCCCAAATTTATCCTAGTGATAAAGGAAAAGAACGAATTAGTGAGTTTGCCAGTGTGATTCATTCTTCTATTAGTGGAGAAACAGTTTATGAACAATAACTACAAATAAAGGAAATTTGAATCTCACAAGATGAAAGAAAAAGAGTAATCAGAGATTCTGCGATTAAACAGAGGTCTCTGGAAACACAAGGTTGGATGGTAGCCAACAGTGAGAAGGATGCGCAGAATCAACATTGACGTTTAGATGTCAGCGTTGCCATCCTGCCCACTCTGTGTCAGCCTGGTGATGGTGGGGCATGGGAACTGCATTCACAGGAGAAAGGAAAGGAAGCTTCCAGGGGAAAATGCAGTCACAATGAGACTGAGAGGAGACTTTGGATATAATGCCCAAGGTAGCTTATAACTTTTAATCATCTTTATAAAAGACATTATTTCAAGGTTTAGATTTTCTGGGGTGGCCACACTAAGTCTCCCGTCACTGGCTTTTCCGAGAGGAATAGCAAAGAAAGCAGAGTTGGTGTGGAGCGATAGGATATCAACCAGAAGAGCAGGACCAAGAATGTCAGACCTATGGTAGATGATGGGGAAGAATGGGGGATCACGGACCGGCAGGCACCCACAACTGAGAACAGTGGTCTCAGAAGTCACCACATCAAAGACAAAGGCACTCAAAATAGGGGTGTAGAATAACAAATCTCATGCTAAGTGATTATCTCAGGATGTTTCAGATTTACTTAGTATTTGCAGCTAAAGCTTACCTTATTATTTGTTTTCCTTGCAGATTTTAAACAAATATGATTCCTGGATCTCTTTCCTCAGCAGTGTGAGATACTGGATGGCATTTAATATAGAGAGAGCCTGTCAGTCCTATTTCGGGTGTGTCCAGTGCATTAGTGGACCCCTAGGAATGTACAGAAACTCCCTGCTGCATGAGTTTGTGGAAGACTGGTACAATCAGGAATTTATGGGCAACCAGTGCAGTTTTGGTGACGACAGGCACCTTACGAACCGGGTGCTGAGTCTGGGCTACGCCACGAAATACACAGCTCGCTCCAAGTGCCTTACTGAAACCCCAATTGAGTATCTCAGATGGTTGAACCAGCAGACCCGCTGGAGCAAGTCTTACTTCCGTGAGTGGCTGTACAATGCGATGTGGTTCCACAAGCATCATTTGTGGATGACCTACGAAGCAGTCATCACTGGATTCTTCCCATTCTTTCTCATTGCCACAGTGATCCAGCTCTTCTACCGGGGTAAAATCTGGAATATCCTCCTCTTCTTGTTGACTGTCCAGCTAGTAGGGCTCATAAAATCATCTTTTGCCAGCTGCCTTAGAGGAAACATCGTCATGGTCTTTATGTCTCTCTATTCAGTGCTGTATATGTCAAGTTTACTTCCTGCCAAGATGTTTGCAATCGCGACCATAAACAAAGCGGGGTGGGGCACATCGGGAAGGAAAACCATTGTTGTCAACTTCATAGGACTCATCCCAGTGTCGGTTTGGTTTACAATTCTCCTGGGCGGTGTGATTTTCACCATTTATAAGGAATCTAAAAAGCCATTTTCCGAATCCAAACAGACAGTTTTAATTGTTGGGACTCTGCTCTATGCATGCTATTGGGTCATGCTATTGACACTGTACGTGGTCCTCATCAATAAGTGTGGCAGGCGGAAGAAGGGACAACAGTACGACATGGTGCTGGATGTATGACCGAACCCGATTTGGTGACTTCGAGGGGCTGTACAGTTGTGGCAACAGATAGTGCCATCAAGGAGACATATCACTGCTGCTGGAACTTGAACAAAGACATTTCTATGGTTTATTTTGATTTCTGCCAAAGTAAAACGATGCGCCAATAAAAGACCCTCCGCTGTAACCTGTTCCGTCTATGAAAATGGAGTGAATCCTTTGTTATGCACTTTGTGCTCACTGTGCATTGCCTGACAGTGTTGGCCCTACATACCTCACTAGCCATGCTTTCTGTGGGCGATCATGGAGAAAATGATTTTGGAAACTCAAGGAAAAGTTCTTTCGGTCTGTACAACCTAACTTATGGACTGTTTGATAGCTAATGTTTTGGAAGGATTTTCTCTTAATTATACCAAATGAAATGCCAAAGGAAATCTTAAAGGCCGTTGGCTGTGCTATATTTTGATATAATTGTACTGTTTTAAAATTTTGTATGCCAATTTTTAAAACAAATTTTGCATAGTCTATATTTTACTTTTCTGCCAAAATATACCTGTTCTTCCTTTTTTTAATGAAATAGGTTCTGAAAAAATTCATACTTAAAAAATACCTGCCCAAAATGTGAAGCTTGGTTGACTGATTTTTATGATAGGAGAAAATGTTTTTTGTCTTTCTACCTTTTAAAATTTAATAGTTTATCTCTGTGAAAATGTTTTAAAACTTTTACTACTTTAACTGTAGTTTCATTTGTTTAGAAAAGACCAATATACTTGTCACACTTTGTCAGTAAACATACATATTTACTTGTGTACAAAAAAATCATCAACAATTAAGGCCAAAGGGGTAGAAAAGTGCAATTTTTTCACGCAGTTTTTTTTAAAAAGGAGGCTAGTCATTGAGAGAAAAAACTAGGTATCCAGCACAGGACAAAGCCTGCGCACCCAGGTCAACAAGAAAGTCTGGTACTTTTTGCCAGGTCAAGTGTGTGAGTTGGACAGATGCAACACGTACCACATGTACGTGTGTTTCACCTATTTTTTTCTGCTTGCCAGTTGCTGTTCCATGTTAGTGTGATGTTTACATGGGTGGCTTAGATATATTTTAAAAATATAGAGCATAACGATTCAGAATTGGCAGATGAAAGCCCCTAGATCTTCAGGGAGGTGTCTGCTAGCCTGTACAGAGGGCTTCATTTCTTCTGTTCTTGGCATCCATAAAAATGTCTGTGTAGTAGAAATGGTGTTAAGGGTTAATAAATATAACAAAAATTGACACGTAAAAATGATGTCCTCTAAACTTGACTAATTTGGTTTGGCCTGTTGTGTGGCCGACCCTGCCTTGCAGCTGGTGCTGTGTAGACCTGTGTAAAACCCAATTGGAACACACAAAGTTGATCAAGAGTACTGTGGTGAAGCGGATACATGAAGATACACTTTCTGCCGTTATGCTTCCTTTTCTGCAGACAACTAGATTTAGCCTAAAAAAGCTGCACATTCTACCTTCTGAGAACAAGAAGTTACATTCACTTGTGAAGCTCTTACTGATTCGAGAGCTTGAGGGAAACGAACACATCATGCCAATAAATGAGACTAAAACTTGAGTTTGCCTTTTTAACTATTTATGTTTAAGTTAAGCTTTTATAACATTCAAATGTCAAATTCTCTCATTCTTATAAAATTGAATTAATTGCCTGTATTTATTTTAGCAATTATTCAATGTATTTCCAGTATAGGATGTATAGTATAACTGATTTTTTTGTAAATAAAATATTTTTGATAAGATTATTGCTGTCTTTTTTTAGGGGAGGGAAACTTGTATTGATATAGATTTAAGAATGGGTATACAGAAAAATGATCATAGTTGATAAAAGATGTCATTTAATGCTACTTGCATTAGATAACTATCCCTAATAGTTATCCCTTTAGTGTGGTTCTAAAATTTGTAAAACCTAAGGTGTACACATACACACACTCTCAATGTTACCTTTGTTTCTGACCTATGTTTCTGGAAAGCAGTCCAAATTTATACAGAAGATTTTATAGTAACATAGCAGGAAAAAGAACTCACTGTGAAGAAAACTATGAACAAATTTCTTCCCTTTAGCATAAAAAATAACAGCAAAATCGTAAAGTTGAATATGAGACAGTGAATTGTGGTGTACTTAAACAATGAAACATCACCATTAAAATCACTATTTAAGAGAATATGAAGCTATTGGAGAAGTGTTATGCCCAAATATATATATCTTGTATAATGAAATCACAGCTTGGTAAGAGTTACTCAAATATGATTATCTCATACTGAGGATATAACCACTTTATATTCCGTGCATGGTTTTGTATTCTTTAGATACCATAAAGATGAGTTGCTTTTATCACCAAAAAGGATAATAAATATTGTCTTTAAAAGTGGGTTGGGACATGTAGCATTTCCTGAGTTGAACTCTGGTTAATCCATTTTTATCATTTATCCCTCATTCATCTTATTTCCCAATGTATCATTTTGTTTTTAAGAATCTTTCATTACTTTGGTGCTATTAACCATAGCCACTTTATTGCAGTGGTAAAAAATAAGAACACTTATGGTTCTGCTGGCATAATTCTCTGATGAAAGTTGGTTGGTAAGTAGCACTAGGGACAGCGATCCTCCGTGTGAGGGGCAGTCTCAGGTTTTGCTGGATGTTGTGAGAATCTTCGACTGCTATCCCAGCACAAAAGCACCCACAGCCAACGTGTAACTGCAGATGTGACCGAGTCAGCAACATTATGGATGCTGAAATTTGAATTTTACAGAAGTTTGTGCTTTACAAAAGTCTTTTGATTTTTTTCAAAAATTAAAAAAAAAAAACAAAAAACCTTGAGTTTGATCCCTTGTACAAAAAACAAAACAGAATCAGAACCTATTTTTAGTTCCCAGCATTACCAGAACATTTTATCTTGCAGATAAAGACTGATGGTCCGAGCTGATAGGGATTTGTTGACCTGTTGGTTACATGCTAGCCTTAGGTATAGTGAGAGCAAATTTTATATATCAGCTATATTAGTCATCACAGCAATCTCAAGAGGTTCTGTTATTTTTCCTGTTTGTAGACCATGTTTTCAGTACATATCGATTACATTCGCTGTAGGGAATTGGTGTCTGTACATGACACATTTCAACTCCCTCTTTTTCACTTTTGCTCCATTCTGTCTGTCTTTTCCAGCATCAGATTCATTTATTTATCCGATAAGAGCTAGAGGTTCTGTTATTGCAGTTTTTCAGGAGAGGAAGTTGAGGCTGAATGAAATTTAATAAATTAATGTCAAAGTAAGAAAAGGAGGTGGTAGAATTTCATGTGCTGGCACTCTGACATCGAGCTCCCCGTAAACCTGTGCTGCTCACTGTGTGATTCCCTGGGGAGCAGCACCAGCTTGTAAGCCTTTGTGGAGGTGTAGATTCATCTCCCGACTCCTCACATACTGAGTCAGGATCTAGGGAATCTAATGACATGTCTTGGGACGGGTGAATTTTATGGACACCAGCGTTGGCTGGTCCAGGATCTTATCATTGCTAAGGTAGCTGTCCATTCAAATATTTGCATTCTCATTCTGAGCTTTGCTAACCCTACTTTAATTTTTGGTACATTAGTGGTAGATACCTGCTTTTAATTAAATTTTTTAAGTACTAGCTACAGATAAAACAAGAGGTGACCTCTTTGTATTGAAAGGGCTTGTAACTGAATAAGAATGCTAAGATGATTGCATAGAGATCTAATGAAAATCAGAAAATCATGAGTAAATAGTGGCCCAAGGATATGAGCCAAGGAACAAGGTGCAGTCAGTGCTGTGAAGGTAGACTCTCAGTGTGTAATTGCAGTTGATTCATGCAGAACGTGCACGCATGGATGGGCACTAAGGCCTTCCCAGCAGGTGAAACTGAGTGAAGTGGTAGAGGTGAGACTTCAGTAGGTGGTGCTTTAGACAACTCACAGGTTTAATAGATGTGTGGGTTGTATTTAACCAAGAAGTGGGACAAAACGGAAGCAAGTAAACTGGAAGGTGGATCGTAACCAATCATAACCAGCTGGAGGAAACAGCAGAAAGAGGTGATTAATTTTGATCATAGTACATGCAGGGAGTTTTGCCAGGGCACTTCCATTAGTAAAGGCAGGGTGTTTCCTGGTGGTTTGAGTTTGAACATCCCACATGGAAAGTTGTTCATAGTCATGATTGGATTTGAGCACACTAAGTGAGTCTTGTTCTCCCAGTCACTTGATTAGTTAACCACCCACCTTCCTGTTGGCTACGGGCACTATTTGCAGCTCTTTTTTTGTATGGGAAGCCTCCCACCAAATGGTCACAGCAGCCATGATCTACCTTTGCCAGGCCCCTTCCATTCATCCCTCAAACTCAGGAACAAGTTCTTTGTCTCTTACTTAAACCTTTGAAAACAACTCTAGCCTCATTTCTGTTTTATCCAACACATTTGCTATGTTTCTATCAAAATTGTCTTTCTAAGAGGTATCTCTAGATGCAGAAGTTTAACTTCATTTTAATTGTAACAATAGAAAAACATCAAACACTTAAGAAAGCATTCAGGACTGGTTATCTGCCTTGGGTGCCCTTCCCAGCTGTTCCCCACGGTGCCACCAAACTGACTCTTCGCTCCCTCCAAATACGCTTCACCTTCCTCCCTTGTCTTTCCTTGCATTTGACTCTCCATTTGAAATTCAGTTTCACTCCTCCTCCATCCTTGTACCTACTTGTCTGCATTCTTCTATTTTCTACATTTAACTAGCATCTTCTTTCCCAAATACGTCAATTTAAAAGGATAGCTACCCTCTTCTCATACAGAGCTTCATTCTGTCTCTACTGTGCAGCACTGACTTACTCCTCCTCATGCAATGGACTTTAAAGTGCATGATGACAACTGGGCAGATGAAGAGTTTGACAGTAAGACCATGTATTCATTGTTTTTTAATCATCCATGGTAAGTAGCACTGTCAGAGGACCAATGCAATTTGGTGAATAAGCAAATGAATACATGAAGGAATAAAGAAGGAAGCATGAACCCAAGTCATGAATCTTACATGATCTTGCTGCTTTTGTCTCCACAAAAACACTACCTAGGCACTGTCTACGAAGTACAGACATTCATTCAACAAATGGTTTTTGACTATTGATTGTGTGGCAACCTTTCCAATAATTTCAAAATTAGGAAGTAATGTTCATTTTTATGGAGTTCTTTGAGTTGCTGCCACCCTCCTCTGGGGTATTCCCTAAAACTTCCTAAGCCCCCTCATTCCCATCACATGTTTGTCTCCTTAATTAGTATTATACCTTTGTAGACTCGAAAGAAAGTTAAATAAGCAGCTTCCCAGGGAAGTAAGCTTGTGGGGTAGTGTTAGATTACATGCCGTTACCTCAGTACACAGCTTACTAGTGAATACAAACTTTTCTTTTCTTTTTTTTTTTTTTTTTTTTTTGGTTTTTTTGCTTTTTATCGGTACCAGGGATCGAACTCACGACTGCCTGCTAGCAAGGCAGGTGCTTATGCCGCTGAGCTAAATCCCCAGCCCCTACAAACTTAATATGAGTATGTGATCTGAACAAATGAGTCAAATGCTGAAACTCCCAACCTAGGTTGGGAAACAGCCAGAGTCAAAGTCATAAACAGATAAATTCCTAATTTCTGTATATATAAAGAACTCCTTCACTCCCGAATAGATACAATGTAGATGAACTTGGCTGGAGGAAAGACAGCCATCTTTTTATTTTTATTTTTAAAATTTTATTTAAAAGGAAAAAGAGAAAAAACAAAACTAAACTAAACAGTGTAAGGGTAAAGTAATACAGAACTACAAAAAACAAAACAAAACAAAAAAACCAGTAAGAAATCACCAGTTAATAGATTACACATTATCATCTTAGAGATAGCTGCTCAAGTCACAGGATCAAAGCATACAAAGTGGACATTCAAACAGCGAGACTGCAAACAGTTGTGTTCAATGATCCAACCAAAAACATTAATATGGTCCCCTATTTAACACCCCTAAACACACTTGCAGTTGTATATTTAGAGCACTTTTTTTCCCTCTCTTTTTTACAACAAAATTTACACATTTTGGATTTTATTACTCCCATAGTTCTTAATACCTTTTTTTTGGAAGAAAATAAAGTCAAATATGGCAAAACAAAGCTGTCAGTCAAAACCAAGGATAGACATAACACATGATGTAAAAACAGAGTACAAGGTTATCAACAATGGTTACCATAATGCCTCTTGCTTCCTTAAAAAGAATTGTCTATCTCATTAGGTATTATAAAGATGAACAAAACAGTAGAGAACAAGACCAATAAAACCTAAACCTTGTAAACGTTACAGGACTTCCAAAGAAGATAATAGTCAAACCAGAATAGGCATCACAGTGAATCTTATTGCCTTCAAAGTAATTGCCTATACTCTCAAACATGATGCTATAATACAGAACAGAACAGAGTCTAATTAGTCAAAACAAGATAGTTGGAGCATTACAGGACTTCAAATCAAGTTAATAGGAAATCAAACAAGTTACTATAATATATCCTGCTAATTATTTTGATTTTTGCCCTTAACTAAAAAAATCATAAAAAATAATTAAAATTTTTTAATGAATAAGGGAGAGATTGAGATAAAAGAGGACATAACAACATAACAATTCAGGTCAAAGCATGACAGTTTCAGCAACCTAGTGCTTCACCACGAAATACTCGACTTAACAGTAGTTACCATAGTGTCTTTTTCCTTGAAATATTTGAATACA